AATAATAATAATAATAATAATAATAATAATAATAATAATAATAATAATAATAATAATAATAATAATAATAATAATATTAAATCTTGCTTGTTGCACCCAACAAATTGATAAAGAAACGGTTACTAATTGTAAAAAATGCATTGAATGAACATTCTTTGACAAGTAACAATATATTACAGATTGGTTTGTTATATCTCCGTGTATGCAAAGGCCATAGTCGCCGCAAGGAAAGTGGCTGAGTCATAGCAAAACCTTGATTCTCTCCGAAAGGATGGTACGAAGGGAAAATTACCAGTTCCCTCTCTCCGCCCCAGTTAGTCGACTTTTATGACAAGTAGTAGAGCATGGATGCAGTATTTTAACCAGCCACCCCTAGAGAAGAAATCATTGCAAAGTCAGAGAGAGAGAGAGAGAGAGAGAGAGAGAGAGAGAGAGAGAGAGAGAGAGAGAGAGAGAGAGAGAGAGAGAGAGAGAGAGAGAGAGAGAGAGCAGGATATGAAGAATGCCCCAACCTGCTCCTTATTCCGGAGAATTTGACCAATATATTTTGTACCATACACCACTCACCTGTAGTTGATACATAAGCTGGAAGTGTACGAATACCTTTGTTGATGAAAATTGCATTTTTTTTTTTCAAATGCATTTGCGTGGTTTACCTCTTCAGGTTGTTTGGTTTTTCGTCCTGATAAGCAGAGCATCTCTAGACAGGTTTGAAAAGGGATCGAGAATTGGGTGCTTTTGTTACTCTATCGAGAGGGATTGAATTCTCAGTTTGTTCCCGATCCTGCACCTATACTCCTGTTCTTTCCTCTCATATTTCTGTGGATTGTATTATGTTGTATTCACAAAAGACTCTTGTATTCTATTGCGGTTTTATGTGTCACAGGTAGTCCCCGTTCATATCATTGTGGTGGACACACATGTTGGAGCTGGTAGATTAAGACTGGATGTTCTTACTAACGACTCGCGGAGGGATGGAGCTCGGTAATGACGGAGTCGTTAATCCCCAACATTTGTGAACTACCACAGAGCTACCGCGGCCATCATAATAGACGCTTGCGTCCTTTATACAGTATACCAAATTGTTTTTTACTTCAGTCAAAATATTATCCTTGAGTATCAAGAACCCTTTAGGAAACATTTATTATTTGAAAGTAAGACTGCATGTTCATATAGTAAATCCATTTTTCCTTAATAAAGAATGATAAGCGTGTAAAAGAAGATCATTACCTACTTATCGTATGGGTGACCCAAGCAGGGTGGTTGGGGATTGTGACGGCCCAGAATCCCCAAGGGGCTAAGAGAAGTGATTGAGGTATATTAGCTTTTGGTGAATGTGTGTGATTTATTTGTGCCACCCCCTTGCAAGGGAGACTGCAACCATTGTATATGTGTATAAGTGTGAAACAGTGAAGAAAATTTATCTAAGAAACTTCTATCTATTGTAAATGTATTACCATATAGAGTTACTACTTTTGGTTGTTTTACTATTACTAAAGTTACTGCGATCAAGCTGACAGCAGAATCCCCCCCCCCCTTTTTTTATTTGCAGTGCTCTCAGTCTTCAGATATGTGATTAAGTCATTTTAAAACTAATAGTTTTTAAAGTGTGTAAACTGCATAAATTTAGTCGGGTTTTATAAATTCTATAATTATAGTAAACTTTCCAGCGATTTTCTGTGGCTGTGAATAGGGTGAAAAGATATTATTCTAATCTGTAAAAAGATGGAGGGAGGGGGGAGGGAGAATTGTAGGATAACTGCTAATTTGAATATATATGTGTATGCCACTCATGCGTCATTCATATCGTGAGAACTTAATGTGGATTTTTTCAAGGAATGAAAATTATCAGTGAATTACGTAAGTTCTCTGAGTATGTTAGCACTTTTTTATATTTTTAAACTTTTTTCATATAATACTGAGACAGATATTCGAACGTTGATCACATTATATCCTATGAGTGCGTGAATTTTCAATTTGTATAACGAAAACCAAATAAGCACATTAATATGTGAAAACATGAATCATTTTTTACCCCGACCGGGAACCTAGGACTAATAATTACTAAGTCAAAGTGCTACCAACTACACCACAGAAGGTTAAACGGAAACATACCTTATAGCGTATATCTGCTATACTTAGGAATGAACGCATTCTATCTGAATGCCACTATGTTCATATTACAGATTCCCCCAACCTCACTCGTGGCTTCATTTTCGCATGAGATTGGGAGTTAAATTAAATGCGACAATAAAGCCACGACTAAGGTTGGGGAATATGTAATATGAACTTAGTAGCATTCAGATAGAATGCGTTCATTCTTAAGTATAGCAGATATAAGCTATGAGGTCTGATTCCTTTTAAACTTCTGTGGTGTAGTTGGTAGCGCCATCACTTAGTAATTATTAGTCCTAGGTTCAAGTCCAGGTCGTGGTAAATGAATGATTCATGTTTTCACATACATAATGTGCTTATTTGGTTATTGTTGGGCCCGAATGAGATTGAGAGTTGAATTAAATGCGAAAATGAAGCCACGAATGAGGTTGGGGAATCTGTAATATGAACATATTGGCATTCATATAGAATGCGTTCATTCCTAAATATGGCAGCTATAAGCTATTAGGTCTGACTCCCTTTAACTTTCTGTGGTGTACTTGGTAGCGCCTTGACTTAGTAATTATACGTCCTAGGTTCAAGTCCCGATAGGGGTAAAAAATTACTCATGTTTTCACATATGTAATGTGCTTATTTGGTTATTGTTGGGCCCGAATGACATTGGAATTTGAATTAAATGTGAAAATGAATCCACGAGTGAGGTTGAGAATCTGTAATATAAACATAGTGGCTTTCAGACAGACTGCGTTCATTCCTAAGTATAGCAGATATAAGCTATAAGGTCTGCTTCCTTTTAACCTTCTGTGGTGTAGTTGGTAGCACTTTGACTTAGTAATTATAAACCCTAGGTTCAAGTCCCGGTCGGGGTAAAAAATGATTCATGTTTTCACATATGTAATGTACTTATTTAAGTTATTGTTGAGCCTGAATGAGATTGGGAGTTGAATTAAATGCGATAATGAAGCCACGAGTGAGGTTGGGGAATATAGCAGATATAAGCTATAACATCTGATTCCTGTTAACCTTCTTAGGTGTAGTTGGTAGTGCCTTGACTTAGTAATTATAAGTCCTAGGTTCAAGTCCCGGTCGGGGTAAAAAATTATTCATGTTTTCACATATGTAATGTGCTTATTTGGTTATTAATGGGCCGAATGAGATTGGGAGTTGAATAAATTGCGAAAATGAAGCCACGAGTGAGGTTGAGGAATCTGTAATATGAATATAGTGGCATTCAGATAGAATGTGTTCATTCCTAAGTATAGAAGATATAAGCTATAAGGTCTGATTCCTTTTATCCTTCTGTAGTGCAGTTGGTTGCGCCTTGACTTAGTAATTTTAAGTCCTAGGTTCAAGTCCTAGTCGGGGTAAAAAGTGATTCATGTTTTCACAAATGTAATGGGCTTATTTGGTTATTGTTGTGTCCGAATGAGATTGGGAGTTGAATTAAATGTGAAAATGAAGCCACGAGTGAGGTTGGGGAATTTGTAATATGAACATAGTGGCATTCAGATAGAATGCGTTCATCCCTAAGTATAGCAGATATAAGCTATAAGGTCTGATTCCTTTTATCCTTCTGTGGTGTACTTGGTAGCGCCCTGACTTAGTAATTACAAGTCCTAGGTTCAAGTCCCGGTCGGGGTAAAATATGATTCATGTTTTCACATACGTAATGTGCTTATTTGGTTATTGTTGGGCCCGAATGACATTGGAAGTTGAATTAAATGTGAAAATGAATCCGCGAGTGAGGTTGGGGAATCTGTAATATTAACATAGTGGCATTCAGATAGAATGCGTTCATTCCTAAGTATAGCAGATATAAGCTATAAGGTCTGATTCCTTTTAACCTTCTGTGGTATAGTTGGTAGCACTTTGACTTATTATTTATAAACCCTAGGTTCAAGTCCCGCTCGGGGTAAAAAATTATTCATGTTTTCACATAAGTAATGTTCATTTGGTTATTGTTGGGCCTGAATGAGATTGGGAGTTGAATTAAATGTGAAAATGAAGTCACGAGAGAGGTTGGGGAATCTGTAATATGAACATAGTGGCATTCATATAGAATGCTTTTATTCCTAAGTATAGCAGATATAAGCTTTAAGGTCTGATTCCTTTTAGCGTTCGGTGGTGTAGTTGGTAGCGCCTTGAGTTAGTAATTATAAGTCCTAGGTTTAAGTCCCGGTCAATGTAAAACATTATTCATGTTTTCACATATGTAATGTGCTTATTTGGTTATTGTTGGGCCCGATTGAGATTGGGAGATGAATTAAATGCGAAAATGTAGCCACGAGTGAGATTGGGGAATATAGCAGATATAAGCTATAAGGTCTGATTCCTTTTATCCTTCTTAGGTGTAGTTGGTAGCGCCTTGACTTAGTAATTATAAGTCCTAGGTTCAAGTCCCGGTCGGGGTAAAAAATTATTCATGTTTTCACATATGTTATGAGCTTATTTGGTTATTGATGGGCCGAATGAGATTGGGAGTTGAATTAATTGCGAAAATGATGCCACGAGTGAGGTTGGGGAATCTGTAATATGAATATAGTGGCATTCAGATAGCATGTGTTCATTCCTAAGTATAGCAGATAAAAGCTATAAGGTCTGATTCCATTTATCCTTCTGTAGTGTAGTTGGTTGCGCCTTGACTTAGTAATTTTAAGTCCTAGGTTCAAGTCCTAGTCGGGGTAAAAAATGATTCATATTTTCACATATGTAATGTGATTATTTGGTTATTGTTGGGCCCGAATGAGATTGGGAGTTGAATTAAATGTGAAAATGAAGCCACGAGTGAGGTTGGGGAATCTGTAATATGAACATAGTGGCATTCAGATAGAATGCATTCATTCCTAAGTATAGCAGATATAAGCTATTAGGTCTGATTCCTTTTAGCCTTCAGTAGTGTAGTTGGTTGTACCTTGAGTTAGTAATTTTAAGTCCTAGGTTCAAGTCCTAGATGGGGTAAAACATTATTCATGTTTTCACATATGTAATGTGCTTATTTAGTTATTGTTGCGCCCGAATGAGATTGAGAGTTGAATTAAATGCGAAAATGAAGCATAGGGGAATCTGTAATATGAACATAGTTCAGATACAATGTGTTCATTCCTAAATATAGCAGATATAAGCTATAAGGTCTGATTCCTTTTAACCTTCTGTGGTGTAGTTGGTAGCGCCTTGAGTCAGTAATTAAAAGTCCTAGGTTCAAGTCCCGGTCGGGGTAAAAAAATAATTCATCTTTTCACATATGTAATGTGCTTATCTGGTTATTGTTGAGCCAGAATGAGATTGGGAGTTGAATTAAATGCGAAAATGTATCCACAACTAAGGTTGGGGAATCTGTAATATGAACATAATGGCATTCAGATAGAATGCGTTCATTCCTAAGTATATCAGATATAAGCTATAAGGTCTGATTCCTTATAAGCCTCTGTAGTGTAGTTTGTTGCGCCTTGACCTAGTAATTATAAATCCTAGGTTCAAGTACCGGTCGTGGTAAATATTAATTCATGTTTTCACATATGTAATGTGCTTTTTGGTTATTGTTGGGCCCGAATGATATTGAGAGTTGATTTAAATGCGAAAATGAAGCCAGGAGTGAGGTTGGGAAATCTGTAATATGATCATAGTGGCATTCAGATAGAATGCGTTCATTCCTAAGTATATGAGATATAAGCTATATGGTCTGATTCCTTTTAACCTTCTATGGTGTAGTTGGTAGCACCTTGACTTAGTAATTATAAGTCCTAGGTTCAAGTCCTGGTCAAGGTAAAAAATTATTCATGTTTTCACATATGTAATCTACTTATTTGATTATTGTTGGGCTCGAATGAGATTGGCAGTTGAATTAAATGCGAAAATGAAGCCACGAGTGAGGTTGGGGAATCTGTAATATGAATATAGTGGCATTCAGATAGAATTCGTTCTTTCCTAAGTATAGCAGATATAAGCTATAAGGTCTGATTCCTTTTAACCTTCTGTGGTGTAGTTGGTAGCGCCTTGACTTAGTAATTATAAGTCCTAGGTTCAAGTTCCGGTCGGGGTAAAAAATGATTCATGTTTTCGCATATGTAATGGACTTATTTGGTTATTGTTGGGTACGAATGAGATTGGGAGTTAATTAAATGCGAATATGAAACCACGAGTGAGGTAGGGGACTCTGTAATATGAATATAGTGGCATTCAGATAGAATGCGTTCATTCCTAAGTATAGCAGATATAAGCTATAAGGTTTGATTCCTTTTAACCTTCTGTGGTGTAGTTGGTAGTGCCTTGACTTAGTAATTATATGTCCTAGGTTCAAGTCCCAGTCGGGGTAAAAAATTATTCATGTTTTCACATATGTATTGTGCTTATTTGATTATTGTTGGGCCCGAATGAGATTGTGAGTTGAATTAAATGCGAAAATGAAACCACGAGTAAGATTGGAGGATCTGCAATATGAACATAGTGGCATTCATATAGAAGCGTTCATTCCTAAGTATAGCAGATATAAGCTATAAGGTCTGATTCCTTTTAGCCTTTGTGGTGTAGTTGGTTGTGCCTTGACATAGTAATTATAAGTCCTAGGTTCAAGTCCCTGTCGGGGTAAAAATTTACTCATGTTTTCACAAATGTAATGAGCTTATTTGATTATTGTTTGACCCGAATGAGATTGGGAGTTGAATTAAATGCGAAAATGAAGCCACGAGTGAGGTTGGGGAATCTGTAATATGAACTTTAGTGGCATTCAGCTAGAATGCTCTCATTCCTAAGTATGGCAGTTATAAGCTATAAGGTCTGATTCCTTTTAACCTTCTTTTGTTGTAGTTGGTAGCGCCTTGCTTAGTAATTATAAGTCCTAGGTTCAAGTCCCGGTCGGAGTAAAAAATAATACATGTTTTCACATATGTAATGGGCTTATTTGGTTATTGTTGGGCCCGAATAACATTGGGAGTTGAATTAAATGTGAAAATGAAGCCACTTATGAGGTTGGGGAATCTGTAATATGAACATAGTGGCACTCAGATAGATTGCGTTCATTCCTAAGTATAGCAGATATAAGCTATAAGGTCTGATTCCTTTTGACATTCTGTGGTGTAGTTGGTAGCGCCTCGACTTAGTAATTATAAGTCCTAGGTTCAAGTCCCGCTCGGGGTAAAAAATAATTCATGTTTTCACATATGTAATGTGCTTATATGGTTATTGTTGGGCCCGAATGATATTGGGAGTTGAATTAATTGCAAAAATGAAGCCACGAATGATGTTGGGGAATCTGTAATATGAACATAGTGGCATTCAGATAGAATTCATTCATTTCTAAGTATAGAAAATATAAGCTATAAGGTCTTATTCTTCTTGTCCTTCTTAGTAATTATAAGTCCTAGGTTCAAGTCCCGGTCGGGGTAAAAAATAATTCATGTTTTCACATATGTAATTTGATTATTTGGTTATTGTTGGACCCGAATGAGATTGGGATATGAATTAAATGCGAAAATGAAGCCACGAGTGAGGTTGGGGAATCTGTAATATGAACATAGTGGTATTCAGATAGAATACGTTCTTTCCTAAGTATAGCTGATATAAGCTATAAGGTCTGATTCCTTTTAACCTTCTGTGTTGTAGTTGGTAGTGCCTTGACTTAGTAATTACAAGTCCCAGGTTCAAGTCCCTGTCTGGGTAAAAAATGATTGATGTTTTCACATATGTAATATGCTTATTTGGTAATTGTTGGGCCCGAATGATATTGGGAGTTGAATAGAATGCGAAAATGGAGCCACGAGTGATGTTGGGGAATCTGTAATATGAACATAGTGGCATTCAGATAGAATGCGTTCATTCCTAAGTATAGCAGATATAAGCTATAAGGTCTGATTCCTTTTAACATTCTGTTGTGTAGTTGGTAGCACCTTGACTTAGTAATTATAAGTCCTAGGTTCAAGTCCCGGTTGGGGTAATAAATGATTCATGTTTTCACATATGAAATGTGTTTATTTGGTTATTGTTGGGTCCGAATGAGATTGGGATTTGAACTAAATTCGAAAATGAAGCCACGTGTGAGGTTGGGGAATTTGTAAAATGAATATAGTGGCATTCAGATAGAATGCATTCATTCCTAAGTATAGCAGATATAAGTTATAATGTTTGTTTCCTTTTATCCTTTTGTGGTGTAGTTGTTAGCGCCTTGAATTAGTAATTTTAAGTACTAGGTTCAAGTCCAGGTCGGGGTAAAAAAAATGATTCTTGTATAACGAAGGTGAATCGTTAGTTTTGTTTATTTTGTGAATATTCTGTGTCTTCCTTTTTATCAGTGTTCTAGTGGATAGTCTTGGGCTCCTTTGGCTCTCTGGAATCTTTGGTTTGTCCATCCACATACCAAAGCCATATTCCACCCTATAAGGGGGGTGGCAGAGTCATAGAAAATACTTTGGCTTTTTGTGGGGAGTATATACAGAGGACTGGATTCCCAGTCCCCTCGCTCCGCCTCATTTAGTCGACTTTTACGACACGCAGGGGAACACGGAGGAGGTATTCTTACCTCTCCCTCAGGTTTATCCATGTCATTTTTTTTTCAGTTCTTTAAATTCCCAGCAAGAAACACTATAAACAGAAAGAATTAGTGAATGACGCCGAGACAGACAGAAAAAAATAAAATTAGAAAAGGAGGGCTAAAGCTGCTTTCGTAGTCAAAGAAATTCGAAAAGAGTAGGTACAGACAGAAATCTATGGTAATCTTTTTCCCATAGCCAATAGCAAGTAGGACAGTTGCTTCAAAGACAATTGATCCTAAGGATATTTGTCTCCTAGAACATAGGCACCTTCATCACCTGTAGTCGAACTCCTTGCCTTGTTAGAGGGACACCTGCGAACAACTTTTGTTAATGGAAATTGCAGTGTCTTTTCTTTATTTCAAATGCATTTTGAGTAGTTTACCTCTTCAGTTTGTTTGATTAATCGTCCTAATAAGCAGGGCATCTCTCGACAAGTTTGAAAAGGAATCGAGAAATGGTTGTTTTTTTACTCGGCCCTGCTGGGGGGAAAGCCAGAATTCAGTCGCTCTCTGTTTCTTATACTGATGCATGTTATTGGTTTGGCATCTACATTCCTGTTCTTTCGTTTCCTATTTCGCTTGATGGAGCAAGTAAAAAAAAAAATTTTTGCCATATGGTTATTCATATATACAAGGCAAGTTACCTAGCTGAACTAAGCTAACCCAACCTAGCCTAACCTAACAGTTTACTGGGTTATTTAACTCTACATGGGGTTCTGGGGATTATTCACCTTATAAAATCCCTGTTGATTGTATCACAAACGACACTGGCATTTTTTTCGGTGATCTTTGACACAATTATTCCTCATTTGAATCAGGGTGGACACGGAAGATGGAAGACTAAGGCTGGATGTCCTTACTAACGCTCCGCGATTAGAGTGAAGTCGCGAATGTCGGGCACTTCACTTCCCAACCTTAAGTAATATACCACTGAGCTACCGCGGCCAACACAGAATACACTTGGATCCTGATTAAATAGATAGAGAATCCTTCAATAATAGGTCTAGCAAAAATCTGTTGTCTCAGAAAAGCTATGCGTGTCCATTTATTATTATTATTATTATTATTATTATTATTATTATTATTATTGTTATTATTATTGTTATTATTATTATTATTATTATTATTATTATTATTATTATTATTATTTTTATTATTATTATTATTATTATTATTATTATTATTATTATTATTATTATTATTATTATTATTATTTTGGGGTGATCAGAGCAAAAAAAAAAAATTTCTTCGACGATAGCTATATCCATTGTAAAAATAGCAATGGAGAAATAGATTATTCTTGGTGGTTTTACTATTATTAAAAGGTATTTGAATCAGGCTGACAACACCACTTTCATTTTATTCGCGATGTTCCCAGTCTTGTAGTATGTGAGTTAGTCACTTTAGAATTAGTGTGTTTATTGTTTTCGCGGTT